AGGAGCGATCAGGGCGAGCGCGTTTCCCCGTCGCACCGTTAGCGGCAACAGGTCCAGGCAATGCGGGACTAGCAGGCGTTTTCCCCACGGAACTCGTGTAATTTATGGTAGGGGAAAGAAAATATTCTAGCAGAATTCCTGCTTGCAAAACTGGATGTTTAAGTGTCGCGTGGAACAGACCGCAGTTAGCTGCTGATGGGATCGATGTAGGGAAGCCCTCCCGCCGGCTCTGGGCACGGCTCACCGCCTCCGCAAGGGCGCACGGGGATGCCTTAGCCCTTCCACGCCCTCCAGTTAGATCAGCAGGATCTCCATCGGGAAGCCGCCTCGCAGCAGGCAGTGCCCGGCTGTCCTTGCCCACTCGTGTCACCCTCGGGCGGGCGGCCCCACGGGGGAGAGCGCGCCCCGCGCCGGGCGATGCGGCGGGGACACGGTGGGGACACGGCGGGGACGCGGCGGGGACGCGGCGGGGACACGGCGGGCCTGAGCCGGCGGGACGGAGCAGACGGCGGCGGGACGCGGTGAAGTGTTACGACACCTCACTGATGACTCATTTAGCAATAAAAGAAAGGCAATCGCAGCGATGCTTTACCACCCACTTGGCCCTGCTCGCTCCTCACTCCCGAGTCTAGTGTCATCACGCTGCTGCCAGGTGTCCATCAGGCAGCAGTGCATTTCGGCGGGCAGCAGGAGCTTGGCCGGGCTTGAAAAATAGGTTCTCGGTCAATAATTGACTGTATGGAAATGACTCTTTATGTCGGATCGGAGAGGAACGACATCTCCCTAAGGCAACAGTGAACGATTAGCTGCAGAAAAAAAGGGAAATGATCCTCTGTGGCGTGCGTTTTACAAAAGTAAAGTATTTTGGAAAAGTATTTCAGCCTGAAGCACACACTCTGTTTTGCTGACAGTGGATCAAAAAGAAAAAAAATAGGCGAGGAAAGTTTATTTTTGTGTTTGAGGCGGACTGGTTTTGTGGGTTAGGGATTCTTGTTCGGGTTTTTTGGGTTTTTTGGTTTGGTTTGATTTTTTTCAGTTCTCTAGACAGGACAGTTTGTTTTCTAAAGCCTGAGTTGGAGGCACTAGCAGCCCCCATTCAATGAATCCCTAGGAATTAAATGTAGTATTGCCTCGGCAAAATGATGAGAGGAAACCGGTTTCGAGGTACTCTCCCGTTTGCACTGTAGGGGGGATCTGATTGTGACAAGAAGCGGAGGGGGGAAGACATGAGATGGAAAGAGGGAAGAGGAGAGAAGAGGAGAGAAGAGGAGAGAAGAGGAGAGGAGAGGAGAGGAGAGAAGAGAAGAGAAGAGAAGAGAAGAGAAGAGAAGAGAAGAGAAGAGAAGAGAAGAGAAGAGAAGAGAAGAGAAGAGAAGAGAAGAGAAGAGAAGAGAAGAGA